GTGGCAGAGACGCTGCCAGACGGGCTTGGGCGCTTCCTACGTGCGGCGCTGAGCTCTTGCCAGGTTCCTTCCATGCAGCGATGCTGCTGGTGGGACGCGGGGCTGCTGGAGAGCTCAGGCTGCTTTGCTGGCAGTGCAGAATGGCCTGAGCGCGGATGCAGAGGGAGCGAGAAGGTGCAGAAGGAGGAGAGGTCGGATGGGAAGGTGTTTGTCAACCAGATGTGGCACGGAGAGCACCCTGCTGCTTGTGAATCCATCCGGGGAGGAAACCTGTGTGCAGGTCCCAGGGCAGATAACCCTAAGCAGGTGAGAGCTTTGGCTTCGAGAGCAGCATGAGCAGGTTGTCACCCCCGTGGGCAGCAGGCAAGGAGGGCAGAGCCTCTACCTGCCAGTGAGCTCTGTTCTGAGTTATTACGTGTTGTGCCATGGCTTTATGGCCAGTGGTGTGTCCGAGCGGTTGGGCTGCCTGCGATGTGTGTCCCATGCCTCTAAAGGGTGATGGGCTCTTCAGCTTTAATCTGGGTAGGGACCTGTTTGCAGAGAGGGGTGAGTAACAGCCCAGGAATTTCGACGAGCTGGCAAAATTCATTTGGCGAATTGCCTTCTCCTGTTTGTGCTGCCGGTCTGGCCAGCCTAGCATTCTGCGTCCAGCAGATCATCTCGTGTGCATGTCAAAGCAAGCCCTTCCCCTCTGTGCCGTGTGTACCCTCTTGCTGTCTTCACTGGATCACAAAGCAGAAGAAAATTAATCTAGAGGCTATTTAGGAACACGGTTGGTACTGCAGAGAGCTCTGCTTGACTGCAGGGGGATGAGACAGGAGCTGTTGCTGTTGAGGATTTGGCTGCAGAACTTGCTGTGTCTCGCTGGGAGTCGAGCGAGCCTGGCTCCGGCTCGGAGAGGTGCTCTGCTCGCTCTGGCGAGGGTGCGTTGGGTGCTTAGGTGCTGGCTTTGATTCTTCCCAGGCTTTTGTGTGAAATCAACTGAATTGGTGTTTCAACGGTGCAAGGGAGCAGCTGCATGGGGTGCTCCTGTGTGTGCTTCCCTGTGATGCAGCCACAGGGAAGCGTTCTGAGGGGAGATCGGTGTGTTTTGGGGCTGCCTTGGTGTGCTGTCCACTTTGAACCTGCAGATCAACAGACTCAAATGGATTTTTCGAGTCAGAAAAACTTAAAGGCTCTGAAGATGGAGTCCTATCGTAGGCTGGTAGGAAGCAAGTCTAAAAAGATGTGGGAGTGAGGCTTTGCTCAGATCTAGGGCCAAAGCTGGGTGTCTTCATAACAGAGGAGTTTCCTTGGGGCGGAGGGCTGTCAGGGTAACATCCTGTGCTCCAGCACTAGAAGGGATTTGCCAAATGGCTGTGTGAGGGTCTGGCCTCTCTGTCCAACTAAGCTCCGTGTGCTCTTTCCCCAGGGACTGTCACTAGCCCATCCGTTGCCCTGACACTTGCCCTTGGAAGAAGCCAGTCATGGGGGAAACGGGCAAAGAAGAGTATAAAATACAGTCATTCGACAGCGAGACTCAGAAGCTGCTGAAAACAGCCCTCAAAGGTCAGCAGGCATTTTACTAGCTCCTCTGCCATGCGCCGCTTGGCTGGTGTATGAGGCTGGATGCTTGGACCCCAATAAGGAGCACCAGTTGCTAACTGGAGAAAAGCTGTTTCATAAACGCTGTTCATCCGTGGCTGGGTGCCATTGGTACCTGCCTCTTGTCCCCTCTCCCCTTCTCCCCAACGCTTACTGGTGCAGCTGTTCAAACTCAGCTCCTGGTTCTCATCCTCATGGTTTTCTCTGATTTCAGGGTACCCTCCTCTCCTGCTCTAACCCAGCATCTCTCCCCAGATTTGGCCTCTCACCCCTCTCCAGTGCCTAGTTCCTGCTCTCTGCCCCTCCCCACTGTGGGGCCATCTCATCTTCCCAGCCCCTGGGTCTCCTGCTGACTGGTCACGTCTCTATTCAAAACCCAGCAAGAGTTTGCACGTCTGGCTCCCGCTAACCCAAATTTGAAGTAGAGATTTCAGATTCAGATCAACTTCTTGCTTCTCCATATTACCTGCTTTCCTCCATCGCTTTCCCATCGTGGTGGCTGTCTTCAGCCTGGGATGGAGATGGTATCTCCAGAGCAGCTGGTGTGCAAGAGGAGCTGTGACTCTCGATGTGGGACTGAGCATGATGTTTTGCACCATATAACACAGTTGTACCAGGCCCTGCACAGACCTTGGTTGCTTTCCAGGTACCCCAAAGCAAGCAGGGCACAAAGCATGCTGAGTCGTGACAGTATTTCTCCTCTCTGCAGACCCCAGCAACGTGGACCTGGAGAAAGTGGCCAATATTATAGTGGACCAGTCCCTCAAAGACTGTGTGTTCAGCAAGGAGGCAGGACGCATCTGCTACACCATCATCCAGGTGAGAGCTCCTCATGTGTCCGGACAGTAAAACATTTGAGCTGTGTGAGTTGTCGCTAGGCTGGGCCAGGAGAGGCTTTGCCCCAGCCCCGCGCTCTGACCCCTTGGCCAGCTTCCCTCTGCTGCTGCTTGCCCTGTGCAGTGGCAGCATCCAGACAAGCAGCCGGCGAGCACAGGCAAATAGCTGCAGCTTTCCTGCCGCTCTGGGCAATCACAGGAGGGTATCTACATGGTCCCGCATCACCCAAGTAGCAGCATCCCCCCCACCCCTCTCACATTCCCATTTCATCCCTCCATCCTGTTCTGTGGACTCGTAG